AAAGATGCCGAACAAAATAAATGCCAGGGGATCGCCATCAAGGGCCATTGGAAAGAAGAGGAAGACGACCAGCAAGAAAGAAGGACAGGGAGTACGGAACGTAGACGTCACTCAAAAGAAGGACGGAGTTGGACGCAAACGAATGGAAAGGAAAAGACAGGAGGTGGATCACGTGGAGACACAAGGACCAGAAGGAAATGCTGAAATATCATCAGGTAATGAGTCGGAGGAGGATGCACAGGCATTCTCCCCTTTTAGGCACGACCCGTCACACAAAAATTTGAAATGGCAAATAATTCAATTGATTTCACCCCGACACAAGAGGCTAGCATTCATGACACAGTGGGGAACACGTGCCTTTTAAAATTAAGGAAAAGATTTGGGAGGGAAAGTTTATTGAGCTACATTATCTTTTGAGAACGCACAAAGAAATGAAGGAGGTTGACGAGGGCGATTTGAAATTAAAAAGGAGGAAAATTTGCATTGAAAAAAGATCGTCGGGTGTTTATTTGTCCATAAATAAATGGACTTCAGCATTCATGGTTTTTATGAGTATTTACATTGAAAAATACAGTATTCGGGCACAGGAATTGTTAAAATATATGCGGGATATAAGATAAGCGGCAACGAGGTCAGAAAACTGGGCCACCTATGATGAGCAATTTAGGCTAAAAATAGAAAAGAATCCAAATTTATCTTGGGGAAACATACACGGTGAATATTTGCTATTACACATCACATCTCCCACAGTACAAAACAATGTGTGTCAGTGCAATCACAGGGTTATAGAACAAATACACAAAATCTGGTCTTATAACTCAAATTCAACTACACTTTCAAACACTTACACGAGAACACGTCAGCAATCACAGGTAACTAGTGGTAGTGCAAATATGTCATGTAAATACTATAATAATGGAAAAGACTGTCCCTACTTCCCTCGTTGTAGATTTAAACATGTATGTGAAATATGCAGTAGCAAACACAGAAAGGCCCAATGTAATAACCGGGCCCAAGGAAGAAGTAACAAAAAGTATTATTTTTTTTCATCATTAGGAAAGACTCCTGTTAAAGTATCTGTCTTGAAAAATTATTTAGAACTTTGCCCACATAACAATGTAGCACATAAAATTATATTTGGTTTCAAATATGGTTTTTCATTAAAATATTTTGGCACTAGGGAACCAAGGGAGAGTTCCAAAGTAAAAAGTGCAATACAGCTACCCAACATTTTTAAAGAAAAATTAATGAAGGAAGTTAAACTTGGTCGCATTGCTGGTCCTTTCAGATACCCGCCTTTTCCCACACTTCAGGTATCACCAATGGGGCTAGTGCCAAAAAAGGATGGGGATTTTAGACTATTCAACATTTATCCTATCCTGAGAATAATTCAATTAATGATTTTATTGATAAAGATCATTGTTCAGTGCAGTAAAGTTCAGTGGACGAAGCAGCATGTTTAATTAATAGACACAAAACATTTGCCCGTGTAAGTCAGTGTGATGTAAAAGCGGCTTTTCGCTTATTGCCAATAGCCCCGCAGGATTTTGACTTGTTGGGGATAAAATTTCAGGGTGAATATTATCTTAATAAATTGCTGCCAATTGGAGCCTCAATAAATTGTGCCCTTTGGGAGAAATTTGCAAAAGCTTTGCATTGGATAATACAGCAAAAAAGTGGAAATGATAATATCCTCCATTATTTAGACGATTTTCTCTTTGTCGAGTCAAGCCAAACATCAAAATTTGGCATTACTTTGAAGATATTCCAAGAGGTATGCGATAAAATAGGTATTCCTCTTGCTAGTGACAAGACTACTTTGCCTACTACATTAATATTTTTTTTGCGTATAGAATTTGATACAAACAATTTATTCATGCGGCTTCCAAATGAAAAACTTGTCAAACTCTCACAAAAAATCAGAGATACCTTAGACAGTTCTAAAATAACTAAGAGACATGCAATCTCTTCTTGAGCTCCTGAATTTTGCCTGTAAGGTGGTTGCTCCAGGCAGCACCTTCTGCCGCAGACTCATAAATTCAACAATGGTGGTATGAAAATCATATTTCAAAATTCGAGGAAACAAGCAGATGAAAGCAGATTTAGAAGTTTGGGTAGACTTTTTAAAACAATATAATGGTATCACTGTAATAACCGACAATGTATGGGTTTCAAACGAAAAATTAGAGTTGTTCACGGATAGTGCAGGGGGTCCAAAGGTGTGTATGGGATCTATTTTGCGGGTCAGTGGGCCCAAGGCATATGACCAATACATTGTGTTGAAGCTGGAATCACCAGAGATATGACATTGCTAGAGTTGTTTCCAGTTGTAGCAGCACTTATGTCCTGGAAATCATATTTTGTTAACAAAAAAAATATTTTTCATGTTGTTAATCAGGCGGTTGTTAAAATCATTAATATGAAAACTAGCAAATCAAGTAGAGTTATGACTTTAGTAAGATAAACGGTTTTAATGAATTTAAAAACAATACGTCAGTTAAGGCGATTTATATTCCCTCAAAACAAAACCAAATTGCTGATTGTCTTTCTCGTTCTCAGTGGGGGAAGTTCAAAAGCCTAGCTCCAGTAGCAGACCAGTGGCCAACCAAAATTCCAACACAGATCTGGAACATTTAAGTTAGGTGGCGGATTATATGGTCAATCAAGGTGTGTCCAAAAATACACAAAATTCATACAATTTGGCTCTGTCAAAACTTTGTAACTTTAGATCATCTTACAAATTGAAACAGCATTGGCCAGTGCCAGTCAATGATTTGCTAAATTTTATAGCTTTTTTGTCAGTACAAGGTCTTTCTGGGGGTACCATATCATCTTATATATCAGGAGTTTCATATCAGCATAAAATACAAGGCATACAGGATACTACAAAATTCTTTATAATTGGCAAGGCATTAGAAGGAATAAAAAGTATTCAAGGAGGGAAACGTAATGACATTAGAGCACCAATTACAGTGCAATTGTTATCAGATATGATACGTTGTTAAGATAAAGTATGTAAGAATAAATATGAAGCTGCTTTATTTTCAGCAGTTTTTTCAGTTGCCTTCTTTGGTTTGCTAAGGGTATGGGAAATTACTACTTCAAAAACTAAGTCTGTTATAAATGGCTTCAACTTAACAATTGCTGATATTTTAATTAAGAAAAAAGTTCTGGAGCTAGGAGTAATGTGGTCAAAAACTGACCAAAAGGGAATGTCCGTTACTTTATTGATACCTGGGAACAGAAAGAACTACTGTCCGATACGACTCATTAACGAATACTTAAAGGTACGACCTACCTGTAACAATAGTCACCTTGGCGCCTCAACAAAATATTATAGAATACTCTGTAGCCAAAGTAATGCCACAAAGTAAAAATGTATATTCTAGTCATGAAAATGTAAATACAAGTTGGTGTAATAAAATGTATGTTTAATTAGAATGATTGTTTTTTGTATAAGTGGTAAAGGTTATAAATGAAAAACAGAGGATGGAACCTCTACACAAATGAGTATAAAATATAGAAAGTCTGTAGTATTTTAATCTTCAAGTTGGTATTTGTGAATTACAATAAACAACAGACAAAGAAAGACAACTCTATAACAATTTTTAATCACTTTGGGATTGAAGGAAGGACTTCAACATAGTTAAGAAAATACAACAGCAACTCTTCATCGTTGTTCTTCATCTCATTGTTATTCGTTCAGTAATATTTTAGGGTCTTCTTCTATGAGTATTGCAATTAAGTTTCAATAACATACTCTCAGGTGAAGCACACATTTTGCCAATGCTGCTTCTTTCATAGTATATGGTGTCAGTTTTGATAATTTTTTAATGTTGCACAATGTTCTCTGATTGTCTGGATCAATGTCGACTGGTTTTGGTGGACAGCTGGCTCATTGGAAATTAAACAGCATCTCATGATCTAGTTTTATCACTAACAATACATGACTTCTCATTTTGTCCTTTTCCCGAAAATATTAACATTGTAAATAAGTATAGCATTAGGTGCACTGCCATAACGACATGCTCATGTAATCACTTGAACACGTAACCTTAACCAAAGTTTGAGGTCGATAGCCCATGACTGAGTAGCGGGGACAAATTATCCTATAGATTTGAGATGTGTTAATGTTCATACAACGTAATATTTCGTGCATATTCTAGATAAAATTATTACATTTAAAAGGAAAGGATTGCAAAGATGGTCGACCTAGATTTTGACAACTTCTTGAATATCAAGCATGTTTGACGGTCATTTTGCCCTGCAACTGGAACTCTAAAAAAAAGTACGGAATCATTAGTGTAAAGAGATCGTGGCCTTTTTTCAACGATGCATCGGATCTAACGTTCCTATTGTGACTAGAAGTTAATGCGTATTTATCATGTTTATACATTATACATTGTGAATTTAGTCGTTTTCAAATATAAAGTCCCAACCCCCATTAAGCTTTCATTTTCCTATGAGGAAGACTTGTTACAGTCTGTCGACAATAATAAATATACAACATATACCAGAATTAAATATTTTCAATAATATAGCAATATAGTTATATTACATGAGGGCTTATGGGGGTCCTTAATATTTGTATTCTTTAAATTTTTGGATGTTTATATATCTTATAAATCACGTTTATTCAGTAAATGATTTAATCATTATTTTTTTGGCAATAACATATTTGATTTCTTAATTTTGTACATCATTCATTTCTGTTATCAGCATCGTGTTACATATTTCTAAAGTTATTCTTTATCCTTTAGCACCCAATTATTTTTTAGTCTTTGTATTTTGGCTAATTATGTTTTATTCATTATAGTATTTGGTCATTATTCTCTATACTGATAACACAATCAAGATCTTAGGCCTCTTGCATTGTTTGTGTTCAACGACACTATTGTAATGATTTCAACATATATATCGGGCTTTTAAATCTTATTCTCGTCGAATCACTATACCATGTGTACCTATGACTACGAACTATATCGAATAACAAACGTCGTTTGTAATATATATATGGATAAATAGCTCTTTACAATTAACAGGTACCTTTTCACGTAAGATCAAATTGTTACTTTATTTTCATTTTCTTACAACTAGTCACAAACTGAATTGTACTTTAAGCATGTTAAACACTGATTTTCTGTGAAAAAAGAAAGAAACTGTTGAAAATTTTATGACGTTATCAATTACAGTAAGTTATGACTTAATTATTCGATCAGTTTACCTTAGCTAGGTTTGGGTTTTATATTAGTGGATTTGTCCAACAGTGTTTGAGGAATTATTCCTTATTCTTCTTATTGTTGATATACGTGAGGTCGTCATTCTATTATATGCTGACGTTTACAGTAACAGCAAACAAGTTACTGACCATAAAAAAAGAATATATGTTTATATATATATCTATACCAAAGTTACATTAGTCTGGTAATATATCGAAAACATTGAAAAAGGGGATCTATGTCCTTGTCTCTGTGATATATACGCAACGTTTAGATGGTTAAATGAATATTGCCCCGCCATAATAGCTGGACAAAATTATGTGGATCCATGTTCATCGGATATTGTTGTTAACTGGAATCAATTTCTGAATTCTGACATTAGAAATAGCCACAATGTGACATTTTTGGTGAGTTAGCGCAGCTGCGAACAAAAACTAGACATTGTATCAAACGGCTGATATTTGAAAACCCGAATCTCTGTTTTTGTACTAATTATGTTTATTCTCTCCGTAAGACAATTGTACACATGGTTGTCCTAACGAAGGTAAGGTTAATATGTTTGCTCTAACATCACTGGAACCTTTCCTCAAAACTTGTGACGTTGGTGATCAATTCTGCCTACACTCAAAATATTGACACAAGAGTTGCGCGGGTGATAGAGGCGCATGGAAAAATGAGAGTCCAATTTTATTTGCCATCAAGACATCTGCGGAAGAAACATACAATGGTATATAATGTATTTTATATGAAACAAAAAATTTCTTATAAAAAGTGACTTATTCTTATGACAATACAACCGAATGCTTGCATAATCTGATTGATTTTTCAGGCACTAATACAAAAACTCTCTATTTCCATTTCTAAAGTCCTTGTTAAATTGATCCAGTACTTATAAAGTGTTATCAAAGTTTTAACACAAATTCCCGAAATATAGTTTTAACTAAGTTTGGGAAAATGTAATGTCACCAATTGAATCATAACATTGAGTTATCATCAGAAATTCATTTGGTGGTCATATCATTCAAATCTTAATTATTTTAACCTACCAATTACATATACAGGAGGAGAAATTGAGCAACAAAAATAATAATATTGATATTGAGAAACATTTTGTTTTGCCATTTTAGGAATTCCAATGGCATCCGCAATTCAATTACCCTGCTGTGGTCCATGTGGATATGATGACAGAATTACGGAAGCGAGAAGATGGTGTACTACTTGTAAAGAAGGTTTATGTGAGAACTGTGAAAACGCTGACATAGAAAACAAAATATTGAGTGACCATGAAGTTATCTCGATTAAAGATTACCGCAAGATTGAAAACGTTTCTATCTCTGAGGTATGTGATCTTCATGCAGAAACCCTTGAATGGTTCTGTAAACCCCACGAAAAAGCTCTCTGCATGGTTTGTGTCCAATCAAATCATAAGTCATGTTCTGATGTTATATCAATACATTTTGCCTCAAAAAATGCCAGGCAATCGACAGCATTTTCTGACCTTGTAGAGTCAATTGATGGAACACTTAGCAACTTAAAAATGTGCATAAAAAACCGCGAATCTGCTGCAAAAGGAACTGAAAAACAAAAAATTGAAATAAAAAACATGGTATTTGAAACGCGGACAAGAATAATCGCCCACCTAGACATGATAGAAAAAAAATTATTACGGGAGCTAGAATTAACTTCTTGTTCTTGTAAATCAGAATATACGAAAATCCTGCAAAAGCTTAAATCAGCAGAGAAAAAACTTACCAAACTTAGGGAACAAACATTGCAATTTTCTTCTGACATACAGGTGTTTCTTGGAACGGTTCAGGGTAAAAGGTTGGTCATTAACGAGACGAATTCAATTGAGAAAGTCGTCAGAGCCTCCAAAAATTATGAAATAAAAGTAGATTTCGATTGTCTAATGAAAAAACTATCCAAAGAGCTTCAAGATTTTGGTCAAGTTCAGGTCACAGAAAATTCCCCTCAGTTAGATTTCAGAAACTCCAATATCAATCAAGATCAGGTAGGGATCACTGTCCCAACATCAGGGGAAATATCCGACATACAGCTTCAGCTAGTGAAAAGTTTCAAAATATCAATGAAAGATAAGAATATCAAAATAGATATAACAAGCTGCGTCATGTTATTCAATGGTCATTTATTAATGGCGAACTTCGCAAAGAAATATTTGATCGAGTATAGTGATGACGGTAAACATGTGCGCGACATTCAAGTCTCTGACAAACCGTGTTGTATTGCAGTAATAGATCCTTGTCGTATTGTTGTGACTTACGGAACCGCACAATTCTTAGAAATAATGAATAACTTTACTTTCAAAGTCGAAAAGAAAATTAGTCTCCAGGCATGTGCTACATGGTTATCTCAAACAAATGGGAAACTTTATGTAGTAGTTGGATACAAAACAATACAAGTCATGGATCTATCAGGAAGACAACTAGAAACTATAGAACTGTCATCTAATACTACAATTGACGTCGCTGTTAGCAGAGACAGGATATTCTACACAGATTACGAAACAGGCAATATACGTTGTTGTCTTATTACTGGAGAAGAGTTATGGCAGTTTGACAGTACAAATATTCGTACACCTCTAAGTTTAGCAGTAGACATTTACAATAACGTTTACGTTGTACGTTGTGCGTCTCATATTCTAACGTTAATACAACATGATGGAAAAGACAGTAAGACATTAATGACTGAATCAAATGGACTGAATGTTCCCCATGATGTGTACATTGACATTGATAGTAGAAAACTGATCACATGGAATGGCAATGGAGATATTTATTTGTACAAAATTGTTTAAAACTTACAAAGCATAAACTAATTTCCTGTCGTTAGGAAATTTTATCTACATGTGTTTCATGTGTTCCGCAATATTTTCATCTTTAATTTAACATAGCAGGATCCATTTTGGTTTTTTTTTATTGTGAGGTACAAAAGTTGTCGATGTCTTGTTAAACAATGGCCACACTGGTAAATGCTATGTCTTCAAGAGACCAAAAGTTTCTGTATGGATCAGAATATTTGCAGTAGACTGAGAGAAATGTATTGTATTCATTTGTTTCAAATTTCAAATGTATAAGTACTTTAACGCTTTACACTCAAGAAATTGCTTCCATTTTAATTCGCGAGAATTTCATGCAAATAAAGGCAACAGTAGTATTCCGCTGATCAATAGTCATAAATCGATTAAGCGCAAACACTTCCGGGCTTAAGATCTTGTGGCCATATTTGTGTTATCAGCTGATGAAAATTAATTTAAAATAATAAGGAATTAATATAATGTTGAACATTTGTGTTGTCTACAATAAAAGTGCTCCTATCTAAAACATAGATCAGGATGTATGCTTCGGAGTAATACGACTCGCAAATCAATTTTACATATCAACCATTCATTACTGATGGAGTAAATTAACGTGTAAAGGAACTTTATTCAGGAAAGATTACTTGTACATTTTTTAGTTCGATTAATTATATGTTAATGTCATCAAAGTCGAACATATTATTTATGACATCATGTTTTTGAAATGAATTAGAACATGTGATATGATTACGGATGAGACAATTATGCACCAGAATTCAAATAATGTAAGCTGATGAAGATATTTTGACCTAGTATCAGTCCATGAACAATATATAAATAACACATAGCTGAGAGGGTAAAAGAGCAGCTTGTTACCCCAAGAAAACATTATCAACCGAGGCGAAGCCAAGTTTGACAATGCTTTTTCGATGGGTACCAATCTGCTCTATCACGCTCTCAGCTATGTGTTATATATATATGGTTATGAACTGATACTAGGTCAAAATATTTTCATCAGCTTACATAATTAAAACATATGTAATAACAATATATATTTTAAAAGCACACAAAAAATAGACATCAAAATAGAACATCAAACTAGATTATAAAATGGAAAAAAAATAAGACAACCACACAAAAAGGGAGTATGCCAATTCTTATCACCATATCACATGTATCTCCTTTAAAAAACTGAATACAGTGGAATGAAAAATAGAAATGACAATACATAAAACATTGTATGGAATGTAAGTTTCCTTTTATTACATTTAAATTGCATTTAGTAAAATCTTCGAGAAAAATACGGATTTATGCATTTGCATGTTACCAAACGACCGTCTTCATAGATATACATTGTTATACTTTCATGTCTCCATATTTTTCAAAATGTGGAACATTTTTATGTGTTTTCACTTCGTTTTACAAGAAAATCAATGCTTTGCAAATACACGTAAACTGTCTATATATTTGACCTGGATCTATGACTGTTAGTGGACCCTACATTGCCGAGTTTATCACAAAGCACCCGTCTGTTGATGGACTTGCCTATGTTGAGTAATACAGTTAAGACCCGCTCAGGCTCTTTAAATAAATCAAATAATATGAATATTATAAAAAAATATATCTTTTATGCAGAATATTACAAAGTGAACATGTACATGAAACAGGATTCACCATATATTAACCTGCTTTCATTGTTCCGCGTTTCATTTTTAGTTGATGTGATAAAGTCTGTTTTCTGATTTAAGAAGTAGTAGGTCAACTGTAGTTGATGTATTTAAAGATTGTCAATTGCTGAAGTTTGTCTAACACAGTACATCTGTTCTGATCCTCGTTTTCATGGTTTATTGGTAAACTTTCATGCATCAGTTATGTGATTAGATTAATTTTGCAGATTTTATAGGTAATAATTCAAATAAATTTAGTGTCAAGAAAGATTGCAAGGTGTACACGTTTGCGTGGTCACGTTCGTATCTCGGATACTACAAGTAATAGGTCAACTATATGTGGTCCATGGAATGATTTTTAGGTGTACATTGTTAAGCTGGAATGTTTCATTTGACCTTGATCACAATTTCATGTCCCGTTGGATAATGCTGATTTTTTTTGTTTGGACTAGTTCTCAAATACTTCAAAAAATAGGGCCACTATATTTGGTGTAATGAATGATTCTAAGATTTACATGTCAGCCAGAGAGGTTTCATCTGATCATGACCTTATTTTCATGGTTATTTGTTAATAGTATGGAATAATTGTAAGGTGTACATATCTAGTTTGTAGATTTTATATGACCTCCGTTTCATTGTTAATTTGTCAATGATAGCGGTTTGTGGTTTTGTCAGTTTGTTAGTTTGTCAGATATTATAAGCAATATGTCAACTATATTTGGTGTATACAAAAGATTGTACATTGTACATGTCTGACAGGATTTATTATACCTTCAACTCATTTTCCATCAAGATTATTATATTATTCTAAAACCCTCAAAGGTAAGAAAAAATCTACACTCGTTTGTACATGTTGTAATAAGTGACAAATGTCAGATAGAACTTCTGTTTATGCACGACCAGTCTGTTCCACGGCAGGGTTATTTTCTTCTGTGTGTATGTGTGTGTGTGTGTGTATGTATTTTCTATTTGCCGCTGGGCGTTGAACAGCAATTACTCATTTTTTTTTAGTATTGTTCATGATTTCGTATGCATGGATTCAGTGGCCAACCAAAAGCACAGCAGTTACCATAAATATTTATTTTCTTTAAACTTTGTAGTTCTATAAGTAACTGCTAAAATAAGTGGCAAAAGATACCAGAGCGACATTTAAACTCAAAAATCAAAAATAACCTGAGAACGCCATGGCTAAAAAAGAAAAAGACATACAATAGCACACAAAACACAACATAGAAAACTAAGACCTATGCAACACGTACCCATAACAAATTGGGGGTGATCTAATGTGCTCCGGAAGGGTAAACAGATCCTTCCCCACATTTGGCATCCGTCGTGTACTTCAACGAATTCTTATAACAGGTTGAGAATTTTCAAATATTTTGATCTTGATCATCACTGAAGAGACACTAATTGTCGAAATGCACAGCTGGTGCAGTACATTTGGTATCGTTAATGTTCTTAAGAATCTGAAGTGTATGTGTGATTTCGTTGCTCCTCCGGCCAAAATGAAAAATAAATCCCATCATTGGTTGAATTTTTTTTTTTGGGGGGGTTAGTTATCCAGCATTTTTGTGTATGCTTTTGAAAACATACTGTATACTAGAACGCATTAGATTCTGAAATAGTATATTTGTACCGAACGTCGGTACATATTTCCTATAATTGTCCTTAAAATGTGATAGGTGTCCGTGCAGAAAGTTTATTGTCAATCAACTATATATGTATATGCCCTGTGCTTTATGAAGTGTCTTGGTAACTTTTCCGCTACCAAAATAAACAGGTTTTACACTTTTTTTGTGCGCAGGTGTCATCGCAAGGATTATTTTTGCAAAAAATTGCTTTGAACACCAGTAGCAAGTTTTCGTTTTTGAATACGTAAATAATAAAGAATGCTATTGATTTTATTTGCCAAATTTAAACATTTTGGCAGCCAAACATTCCCTTGTAAATTGTTCATTCAATATACCTAACACAAGCTTAATGCTAAATTCTCTTTTCAAAGATAAAAAATATTTTTTTTGTTTAAGGATAACTCCTTTAATTCGCCGAAGGCATTGATATCATCACTTGACAGGAAGTACGGACGCATGCTTATTTGTCCACCATCAACAAATTGAAGAAGAACATTGAACATCTTTATAGTTATATCAGATACATCAATGTCATCTTTTGATTGGTTCGTCACTTACAGTCCATCCAGTACATAAAATACACTATATTTTAACACGTAACTTTAAGACAGTTTGGATGGTTTTGTGCGACGTGGTTTTGCATATTCGAAGTCTTGCTTCAGCCTGTATTGTTTCGTTTCAACATCAATATAAATATCAGGAAATATGTTAATTTAAACCTTTGCAAGGACATAAGCCTTTCGAAATATATTTGGCAAGGATTTTAAACAGCATATCTTTGTCGGAGCAGCTGAAATCTGCAACACACTCCTCTTCGCTTGTTCGTCGTCATTATCATCGATGTTACATGTTCGGCTCATACAGTCGGAATCATTCATAGCAAACCTGGGGGATAATGTTTGCAGAATTAGGCAACAGCCAGCTGCTTTCATGTCTGTACTATCGAAATGTATTGTATCAACATCAAAATTTAGTGGCCACTATGGAACGCCGGAACTGTCTTATAGTGTAAATATTTAATGTGTTTTGTCGCTTTGCCTTTACGTCCTGTCATTTCTTCTTTATGTTATGTGCAGGTGCCTTTATTTCCTGACACTGCATCTCAATGTTCTGTCAAATTTATTATTTGTTTGGTCAAACAATTGTATGACATGTCATTGCTCAACTTTGTTGTGTGCAATAGGCATTACATTTTGCTGTAACTACTATATATTCTATGAATACCTCCAAACTTTATGATCAACCACCTTTAAATTCTTTCATATTTTCTCTATGTTGTGTCTATTCTTCCTTTACGTAAGTCAGTTAATAATAGCGGCTTGTCTCAAATATGATTGTTATTCTGAATGTTCTAAACATTTTGAAAACATCATGATATTAATGTCTAACGGCTTTATGTTGTGTTTATACATATGTACCTCCAGTGAAAAACATAATACGTCATGGTAAAGTTCATATGCGTTTTGCCGAACAATTGATACTCTCTGTTAGCATTCATTACGTCATGTGTAAATGCCTTTTACATTATGTTCAAACACCAAATGCATTATGTGCAAACACTTATAACGTTATGTGCAAACAGCTTATACGTTTTGTGCAAGCATCGTTTACGTTATGTGCAAACACCTATTATGTTATGTGCAAATGCCTATTACATTTTGTGCAAACACCTAAAACGTTATGTGCAAACACATATTACGTTATGTGCAAATGCCTATTACATTATGACCAAACATCTATTACTTTATGTGCAAACACCTATTACGTTATGTGCAAACACCTATTACGTTCTGGTAAACGTTTTTTTGACACAGATTAAAACAAAACGCATCAATGATATACGCTTTGAAAATTAAGAAAATTACAAGTTTGAGCTTTCTAAAAAGCTGTGGACTGCTTCGCTGTAAATATGTGTGCATCGGGTTGTTGATTTAGTATTGGAAATGTAGTATTTTTAGATATTGATTGATGTTTTCAGGGGAAATTATGTTGTTCTGCTTTAAGAGTGTGCGTTATACACCCATGCTTGTAAAATTTCGTTCACTTTACTTGTTGAAATAATTAGTTTTTACAAATATACAGACACTCTAGTTTCCAAGAAATGCAACCGAAAGGAACAATACAATATAAAAAAGAAGATGTGGTATGAACGCCAATTGGACAACTCCTCACAAGAGACCACATGACGCAGAAATTAAAAACGATAGGTCACCGTACGGTCTCCACCAATTAGCAAAGCCCGTACCGCACATTCAGCTATTAAAAGGCCCCAAAATGACCAATGTAAAACAATTCAAACCAAAAAAACTAGCGGTCTAATTTATGTACCAAAAAATGAACTAAATACAAATAAATAACACAACAACAAACGACAACCACTGTATTATGGGCTCCTGCCTTGGGACAGTTACATACAGAATGTGGCGGGGTTAAACATTTTAATTGGAGCCGAACCATAACATGGGACAGTGGTGTAACAGTACACCATAAGCACAAAGTATAACAACTAGTTGAAAAAGGCTTAACTCATGAGTTAGATACACATAGAAATACATCTAACAAAAACATAGAGTTGACCTGGCCCAGTACTTGTACGTCCCAACGAAAAAACCACACTAAGTACAGATCGGAGAGTACTCGCAGTTACTAACAGCCGTTAGTTCAAAGTTCCCATTGTTTCTCCCGACTGCAACCTCACCGTCCCAGTAGGATATTCTAGCGAGAAACGTGTACCAGTTTAATTCTACCAATGCAATGACGTCTCCCACGATTTATGTAGCAGCTAAGGATTCCTGCATCCAGGATGGTTCATTTCCCAAAACAGTCGTGTATATAATTCTGAATAACCTTCCTAAGACTTACGATTTCCTCTGTCCCTGACAAGGCGTGTTGAGACGGGTGGCAAACTTTAGCAATGACATATCATACAATTGTTTGACCAAACAAATAATAAATTTGACATAACATTGAGATGCAGTGTCAGGAAATAAAGGCACCTGCACATAACATTAAGAAGAAATGAGAGGACGTAAAGGCAAAGCGACAAAACACATTAAATATTTACACTATAAGACAGTTCCGACGTTCCATAGGCCACCATCCTCGTCTGTAAACTGCTGGAACAAGATCTATATTGATTCTCAATTGTTTATAAACAGAACCCGACCAATACACGTCAAAATTAAACACTGGTTTGTCCTGATTTTTGTACATCCTATTTTCAACATTATAGTATAAATTTTCGTCCTTCCACAGATGAGATTCATTCAGTGCTCTTTTTCAAATAATCGTAGAATAAGCTCAGAAACAAAATAGGCAGGAAATAGCCGTCAGCATCAGTGAATGGAAGATACTGGTCAAAAACTTGTGTAGTTTTAAATTTCAGAGAAGCGAATCCAGTTTTCAAAAGAGGGTCTGTCATTATAATGTCATTGATATTATTCAACTTATCAAGACATAAAATAAAATAAAATTCATCTGTACGGCCAATTTTTGTGCCTTCAGCCATGCTTCCAGATGGAAAAACTGACATTTCAAATCTAGAATCGTATTTTTGAATTTGCCTGCAAGATTATTAACATCGAATGTGACAGATTCTACTTCAAAGGAATATTTTGGATTTCTGGTATGATACGAATCAAGAAGGTAGTTCATGAAGTCTTTTAAAATTCAAGGGTAGTTGTAGTAGTGTCTGAATATCTTGTGGTGATTTGATACAAGACGATATTATCGTCTCCGGTAGTCCACGAAGAGTCTCTTCGAACGTCTTGTCTCTAAGCATTGTTTTCGAATGAATGTCATGATGTGTTCTATAGCCGTTCTGTATGATGCTTTTAATAGTGCAATACAACGCAAACTATTGTATATCTTTGTTGTGTCCAGAGGTCTTTCTTGGAGATTATCGCGAGCGTTTATATCTTTATTATATATTTTAACAATATCTCTATTTGTTCCTCATAATTGTGATAAGCTGCAAAATTCAGAGGCGTAGATCCATACATGTCATTGGTATTCACATTTACTGTCCCCTTTACAAGGAAAGCACTGAATAAATCTGGTAAAGGTCTATACTTCGTTTTAGAAATCAACGCAATTCGATCCCATTTATCGTACATTTTGCAGTCTGCATTAAACTTACAAAAAATCTTAAAAATGGGCTCACTTAACGTCAGGTATAAAACAGATTCCCCGTACATGTTTTGTGCGTTTATGTCAGCACCACTTTCCAGCAGATATTCCAATACATCTCCATAAGCATCTCCATGTGAAACACCACAAATTTGATGCAATACTGTATTTCCAAGTGTATCCTTGACCTTAGGAGACACACCATAGCTAAGGATTATTTCAAGATTTTCGGCAGATGTATAGTCACCTCCTCCGCCAATCAGTAAATTCCATGGTGTTCTTCCCAAAACATCTCTACTGGATAACAATGCGCTCAAACTAGATTAATCATTTTCTGAAATGCATTCAAACAATTCGATAATCTCGTCTAAAAGTTCGTGGGTAAGATAAACATGCAAAAGGTTTTCATTCTTTTTGTTAATCAAATTTAAATTTGTGTCTGGATAATTTGAAAGAAAAACTTCAATAATGGTGTTCCTCCCTCGTAGCAATGAAATGTAGGATACCGTCTCCAAATGCAGTATGATTGTTCGTATTGATTCCGGCTTTGACGAGAGCTTACAAAGACTTTCTTAGATCGATACTAAATGTTCTTTTCATACGAAGTGGCATTTCGAATTTGTCAGCGTTATCGGATGAAATTAGATCTTGAAGGTAATTATTCATTGCAGGCAAATTGTCATCCGAATTGTTACTTTCACCATCATTTGCAGCAATGAGACACTGAAGGGCATTGTATCCATTTATATCTTTGCTATTGACATCAATACCAGAATACTTTGTCATAATCTCAATATTTTGTAAACAACCAGCTATGGCAGTATATTGGAATGGTGTTTGACCCCACTTATTACGGGCGTTGACGTCTACGTCCTTTGGCATTAAGTTCTCAATGTAAACTTTCCCGTCATGGGTTTTATTTTTGGCTGCTAAATGTAGAGGTGTTTCACCTTTTGTGTTTACTTCGTTGTATTTGCTAAATTCACTTCTTGTAGCCATTTCTCATTTAAGAAACCTCACAAAAGGGTATTATTTCCAGCAGCTGAAAAGCCCACAATAATGTATCACTTCCCTCTCAATTATCTATTTCCCATATTGCATACTAGTTGTTGGCTTCATAGTTCGAACTTGATTTACAAGTTGTATACAATTGGAACTCCTGATACCCGGAACATACAAAATATGTCATTTGAGTTCTATTTCAAACATATTTTTTTTAATTCAAAATCAAAATTAAAAATGGTTCTACAGTGACCCCTTAGAGATAAAAAAAAGCAATTCAAATACAAAAGTGAGATATCAAAACATTTTTATCTCGCAAAATTTACGTAGGGGATAAATGTGAAAAGCCAATATGTGAATTTGTTTTTTTCATCAAATCACATTAACCTGAAGAATCTTATAGCTGTTTCTTGAGGTAAACAAAACGATGGTTCCCGTAAACAAATATCATACTTAGAGAAATAAAAAAGCTGGTTTTCACTCCTAGTATAAGTCATGAAATGGTTTGAAAATATTTTTGAGTAAAGCAATTGTGACAACTGTTTGAAAATATATATAAGTGTTCGATCTGATTTAATAATGACTTATTTTCTACATAAGAAAATGCCCGTACCAAGTCAGGAATATGACAGTTGTTGTCCATTCGTTTGATGTGTTTGTGCTTTTGATTTTGCCATTTGATTAGGGACTTTCCGTTTTGAATTTTCCTCGGAGTTCAGTATTTTTGTGATATAACGTTTTCATTTACGATTTCAAGCAAGCTTTTTTAAAAACTTCAACCTGTTGAATAACTGTAGCAGGAGGGGGTCAACGACAAATCAACAATGCCATAACATATGCCTCCTGGGACATGTAGTGGTTAGTATTTCGCTTAGGTTCGATCAGCAGGATACATTCTACCTATATAGGTCTTGCTTTTTAATGTTTAACAAATGTAATTAAACAAGAATTTTCCCAATATAATATTTATTATACCAATAACATTAGTAAAGTTCAATAAATTGCATATAAATTCAACAATGTAAAATAACAAAAATACAACAGACAACTGTTCTGACAAATAGCCTTTCTTAAAAAGGGTCTATTAAATATGTAAAACTTTATTTATTCACAAATTTCATTTATGAATATAATTCCTCCCAACCTAATCCTTATATCAATAGTAATTTTTTATTTTTAACTAAACGGACCTTATTTTAAACTAGCGCCGGCAAAGTAATACTTATGTCTCTTGAGACGGTCCCTCACATTTATCTAACAATAATTACATACCTTATAGGTCAAGGACACTGGAGTGTTTGTACACAAAAAACGTGTTTCGCCCAAGTAGACTGATGCAGTCTGGAAGGTTTGAGGGTGGCTTGATGCAAGCCGGCTCAATGCAGCAACTCTTAGATGTAGCAAACATTCCAGTATTTATACTTATTGAAACAATGGAAGCAAGCACACCGTGAAAAACAACAATTTTATTGCGTAAGTGAGGAGATAAATGCCGAGATCTTCGAAATAACTTTGAACCCAAGGACAGCATTGGCTTAAGTTGACCAGTAAATTTAATGAATAGAAAATGCAGCATGTCCATCTACTTCCGGTCAACATGCTTCGGAAATAGGGCAGAAATTTGATAAAATATACTTGAAGCAAAGAAGCAATGGTCCAAAAGGTTAGTTTCTTAAATCAAATAATATCTTTTATACATGTATATCAATTTATAACAAATTCCTAGCTGGGGGAAATACTAGTTTTACTCTATAAAATTGCCTGGTCACTACGATAACAATTCATATACTGACATCACATGTTAAATTTATGACTTAATTCCGCTTAAGTAAGCAAGAGTAAAGCATTATGAAAATGGTGTTATTAATTATTGAATAAAAGCCGTGTTGCACTTACTACTGTGTCTGTCGCCTGTGGTTGTGTGCATCTTTCATATTGGATTTTGCATGACGTATCATAACTAAATTTAGTAACAATTTGTAAATAAACACTTTACTGATAACATGTTCAGTTATAAATTACAGCATCGTATTAAAGTATCGTCTGAGAACGCCCTTGATTTTGAAAATTTTATATTCAAAGAATTGTTAGGAGTATAATTTATTTTTAATAATGAGACAGAAACCCAAAACAAAATAATTACACTCAATCTACAATAACCTTGAAAAGTCCGACTACTTTCCTTGTTAAAACTTTGTAGTCTACTGAAGTTTCGTTTTATTATTATACAGACTTTCATCTGGGACTATTACACGAATATATATTGGTCCTAGCTATCAATAGATCGATTAACCCTAACCTCCGCCAAAAAACAAACCAAAAAAACAGAAAAACCCAACTTACACATAATAAAAATCATTTAAGAACCAAAGAACATATTCCTAAAATCTTAATAAAAGCAAAAAAGAATTAGTAGAAGTGAAATTTGACCAACTAGTACAGATACCCCGTTTTTGTCCTTTACAAGTTTAACATAAGAGCAATTTTGATCAACAAAAGAATTAAAAATGTTACAAATAACTAACTGAATATTATAAAAACAAAATGTCAGTAGCTTGTAAAAAGTATTCTATACACGTATTTCGCAAATAAAAACTAAAAATTGTAAAATTGTACTAAATATCTTTTTGAATTTTATCCGTCTGATTATACTTCGGTTTACCGATTATCTGATGAATAAGACGGAAATCCAAATGAGTAGGGTCAATTTCACCTGTATTTTGTTTTCACTCACGGATTGTTAATCATACTGTTATGCTTCATGTCGCTGTTAAAGGCATTTCGATACAACATTGCAAATTTAAAACCCGTTGGGGTGATAATACACTGACACACCGCGTCCTCATGGGATAACTATTACAGAAAAGGATCAATGTCATTCTCTAACATATACATACAACTTTTAATGTGAGTCTTTATTTGTTTCTTTGTAAAAATCCTTCATGTATTATATAATATGACTACGACACATAAATGTAAAAAGAGAATTTTGAAAATTGGCACTGATTTGCCTCCACCAAAACGGACGAGAAAGGATTAAGTTAAGACGAAAGATTAAATTTGATTGAAGACTCCGATAGAATTCCAAAAATAACCCCAAAACAACTTTGCAAGAAGTATTAAACTGGACGTGCAACAGTGTCATATATTTTATAAAGAAGGAATTTTATAACCAGATATATGCCAATAATTTTGATAGAAATAAAAAAGATTTACGATTTCGTTGAAATATGGAGAAGTAGATGATCTGTTGTTCAAATGGTTTACACATGCTAGCGCAACAAAAAACACAGTTATTTACTGATATTGTTGTGCATACCACGTGGTGCATACGTGTCTTGTTCAAAAATGAAACCTGAGTATTTCGACACCCTGTACAATCCGACAAAATTCTCTGGCCCCGTATTGTATTGGATTAGACAGGTTGCACTGTATAACCTTTAAACTGTGGATCATGTAAGATTTTTAATTTGATTTATCTTTATGGTGTGATATTCCGAACTGCGTTTAATTCCGATTATTTACTAACTTAATCCATAATAATACACAAAGGTAACAGCGGTAAAAAAATGCTTATTTTCTTTTAATTCACTGATTCATGATTTGGTCATATCTTAGGTCCTTTTGGTTTTATCAGCACCCCCAACGAATACCAATAACAGGTTAAGGATTTTCTAATATTTTGACCTCGAGCATCACCGAAGATACAGTAATTGTTATAGTGCACATCTTATTTTCAATCAACTATATATATGCATATGTCCGGTGCTTTATGGAGTGTCTTGGTAACTTTTCCGCTACCAATATGAACAGGTTTAACTGTTGACTTAGGCGTGCGCGGATGTCATTGTAAGGAAATCTTATCAAAATAAGTGCTCTGAATACAATCAACAAGTTTTCGTGTTTGATAACATAAATAATAAAGAATGCTACTGATTTAATTGCCAAATTTAAATATTTTAGCAGCCAAACATTCCCTTGGAAATTGAGCATTGAGTATACCTAGCACAAGCTTTATACTAAATTCTCTTTGCATATGAAAAATAAATGTTTTGTTTAAGGATAGCTCCCTTGATTTCTCGAAGACATTGATATCATTTGATAGAAAGTACGGACGCATGTGCATTTTTCCACCATCAACAAATCGAAGAAGAAAATTGTACATCTTTATAGTTATCTCAGATATGTCAAGTCCATCTTCTAATTGGTTTTTCATTTTCAATTCGTCCAGCACATAAAACACGCTATTTTTTAACATATAGCTTTTAAGCAGTTCAGATGGTTTTGTGCGACGTGGTCTTGCATATTCCAGGTCCATTTGCTCCAGCATGTATTGTTTTGTTTCAACATCAATATCAGGACATAAGTTCTTCAAAACTTTTGCAAGGACATAAGCTTGTCGAAAATCATTTGGCAATGACTTCATAAGGCATATCTCTGCAGGAGCTCCTGAAATGCGCAACAATCTCTTCTTTGCTAATTCTTCGTCATTGTCCTCACTGTTACATGTTCGGCTTATACAGTGGGAGTTGTTTAGAGAAATTTGGCGCCCTTTTGTTTGCAGAGTTAGAAAACAGCCGGCTGCTTTGATGTCTGGACTAACGAGATGTATTTTATCAACATCAATATTTTTAGGCCACCATCCTCTTTTGTAAACTGCTGGAACAAGATCTATACTGATTTTCAATTGTTTGTAAACAGAACCGAACCAATATACATCAAAAGTAAACACTGGTTTAGCGAATATTATCCTTACTTTATTTTCAACATTAAAGTATAAATTTCCCTCCTTCCACAAATGAGGTTCATTCAGTGCTCTTTTCAAATATTCAAAGAATAACCTCAAAAATAAAATAGGTAAGAAATAGCCATCAGCATCAGTAAACGGCAAGTATTCGTCAACATCTGGTAAATTTTTAAATTTCAGGGAAGCGAATCCTTTTTTCATAGAATTGTCTGCCATAACAATGTCAGTGATATCATTCAACTTATCAAGACATAAAATAAAATCAAATTCATCTGGACGGCCAATTTTTGTTCCTTCAGCCATGCTTCCAGAAGGAAAAACTGACATTTCAAATCGAGAATCATATTTTCCAATTTGAGTGCACAGCGACGTGACAAGATTATTAACATCGAATGTAACAGAATCTACTTCAGAGCAGTAGTTTGGACTTTTGGTATAATACGATTCAAGAAGGTAGTTCATGAAGTCTTTTAAATTCAAAGGTAAATGTAGTAGTGTCTGAACATCTTGTGGTGATTTGATACAAGACGATATTATCGTCTCTGGCAGTCCACAAAGAATCTCTTCGAACTTCTGATCTCCAAGCATTGTTATTCGAGTGTATATTATGGTATCTCCTTGTTCCGTTCTATCGTCCGCTTTCAATAGCGCAAAGCAACGAAAACTTTTGTGTCGTTTCGCTGTGTCCAGGGGTCTTTCTTGGAGATTATCGCGAGCATTTATATCTGCACCATATTTTAACAAAAGCTCTATTTGTTCCTCATAATTGAGATACGCTGCAAAATGAAGAGGTGTAGAGCCGTATATGTCTCTAGTGTTTACATTTACAGTCCCTTTTTCCATCAAAGCTTTAAGGAAATCTGGAAGAGGTCGGTATTTCATGATAGAAATCAACGTACTTCTACCCCATCTATCTTTAACTTCAAAATCAGGATTGAACTGTACGAAAATATCAAAAACTTCCTCATCTAACGTCAGCGATAAAACAGGTTCTCCATACATGTTTTGTGCGTTTATGTCAGCACCAACTTTGAGCATATATTCTAGAAACTCTGAGTGCGAACGTCCATATAAAATACCACAAGTTTGATGCAAAACTGTGTTTCCCAGGTTATCATTAACATAAGGTGAAACGGCATAGTCAAGCATTTTTCGAAAATTTGCAGATTCACCTGTATTGCCGATCAATAAAGTCCATGGGGTTTTCCCACGGATATCTCTACTGGATAGCAATGCCTTCAAAATAGATCCTGAGTACTTCTCTGCAATCCATTCAAACAATTCCACAATATCTTCCAAACGTTCATCGGAAACATATACATGCAAAAAGTTTTCATTTTTTTTGTTAATTAAATCTAAACTAATGTCAGGAAAATTCGAAATAAAAAACTTTAATAATGGTGGGTTTTCCTTCCTCAAAGCAATGAGATGAAGGATACCATCTCCATATACAGTCTGATTGTTCACATTAATTCCGGCGTTGACAAGAACTTGCAAAGACTTTCTAAGATCGACACTTAATGTTTTTTCAGGCATTTCGATATCATTTATGTCATCTGTTGACTGTACACGATCAAGATAATTTTCCATTGTAAACAAATAGTCCTCCAGATCGTCATCCGAATCAGTGCTTTCACCATCATTTGCAGCAATCAGACTCTGAAGGGCATTGTATCCATTTATATCTCTGCTATTTATATCAATACCAGGTGACTTTGTCAAGGTCTCAATATTTTGTAAACAACCAGCTATGGCAGCATAGTGGAGTGGCGTTTGACCCCACTTATTACGAGCGTTGATGTCTACTCCCTTTGTCAATAAGTTTTCTATGAAATCTTGACCATCAAGGTTTTTTTTTTTTGCTGAAAAATGTAGACGTGTTTCGCCTTTTGCGTTTACTTCGTTGTATTTACACGTTGTACTTCTTATAGGCGTTTGTCTGTTGTATAGCTCACAGGAATTCATCGCTTCCCCTTGAATTCTGTTTTCCAGCTATAACTCACTAGTAATTTGCTTCCCGATTTGCACGCCACTTAAATATGGTACGCATCCATCTGTCTATTATTTTTTCAGGCTGATTGTCTTACTCACAACATCTACAATATAAATAGATCTTGAAGATACTACATGTAGTACATTTGAAAGTTTGGGTATTTATCATCTTAGATCTTATATTATCAAATTATATTATACCATTTGTATAAACATATGTTTGATCAATCAATTAGCAAAGATGCAACGAATTTGATCTCGGCTAATTATTAGGTCGTATTGACGTCATCGTAAAGGGTTTTTTATTAAAAAAAAAATTTTATTTCTGTGTCCCAAAATGAAAACATGTGGTATAGTTTTTACAAAATTAAAAAAAATCCAACCAAAGAGCTTGGTAGAATGCCATGGTTTTACTTGACATACAATGTATCTAATGTATTTATTGCGATTCTCGTGGTCTCGTGATTATGTTTTCTCTCTCCAATAATTTACTATCTTGCAAGCACAATAAAAGTATTTCCAGGGGCAGATCCATTATTCAAAGTTGGTGTTGTCGCACCTTTTTGTATTTCGATTATTGTTTCCTCATTTAAGTTGGCCGGCAGGTGCCCCCCCCCCCCCCCCGCCTGAATCCATTCGTCATTTCATCAGTATTCTTTGTAAATGCGCAATTCGATCTTACATACTCAGTGTTGAGCATACATTTTAACAAGGTTTTCAAAGGTAATACTCTTCTTTCACTTCGATCGAGGGTCATATGGCCACAAAGAGTTATAAAACTTATCCTGCGAAAGAACCATGGAAATAAAACCCACGAACTCCCTCACTCGAGACGTACACACTTAAATATCCCTCCAAGAGCAATTTCATACGTTTTTTTTATATTCAAAATCAACAGAAAAAAGATTTCTACAGTGTCCCCAATCCTCAAATTTTCAATTAATAAATTAATAAATTACTGAAATATCTACATATTTCAAAAGTCACAGCTATAAATAGGAGCTATCTTGTGTGAAATATGTACTACTTTTCAGAATGATCACAGACTGGACATACTTGTGGTCCTTCATCTAAAGCCAAATTAAATTGACAGAGTGGCTACGATTATCTCTCTTTTGGAATATGCTAAAATCGATAATCGTACAGATTGTATCAAAACGCATCATGCAATCAGGTGAAGGAGTTAAATAGAAAGGTTGACCCCTTAATCGTGACAGTTGGACGTAAATGTACTTCCATTTTATCTTCATACTTTGAGTGAATGTTGTTTTGTAACATTCAAATATAATCAACACATGCGTTCTACCAAATTTTTATTGTAAACATCCGATTACTCACTCAATTTTGTCAAATAAATATTTTGATAAAACTTTAAAGGTGTTTAAACAACTGTCATATTAAAACCCGGTTTAACCTACAATATTCGTTGGAAAATCCATGCACAAAATCAGGAACATGACAGTTTGTTGTCCATTCGTTCCGTTCGTTGTTAAAATCAAACGTTTGATTTCGTAAGTTTTTTATGGCATTTCCCCTTTTTAAATTAACCTTGTAGTTTTTTTGTTATAATTATTTTTTTAGTGTAACACATTACTGAATTCGTACTAACGGTGTAATTATAAATAAATTCAGATACAAAAATTGGATATCAAAACATGCTTATCTCTCGGAAGTGACGTAGGGGATAGTTGTTAAGAGCCAATATTTACATTTGCGTAACTCATAAGATCAGATCAATCTGAATAATCTTATAGCAGTTTCTTGTTGTAAACAACACGTTGGTGCCCATTTATGTCGTGGAAAGACAAAACAAAAAAACCTAGCTTTGGCCGCGAGCATAGGTCATACGATGGTTTGAAAACACTTGGAGCAAAGCAATCGCGACACTTTTTTTAATATAATGTGTCCGGTCTAATTCAATAATTTCTTTTCCATGACGTCATGCACGCTTTTATGAAAGCTTTTACTTGTTGGATAATAATTCATATACTAACATAACATACTTGACATTTTTAAGACTAATTTGTATTAATTTAGCAATAGTAAAGCATTATGAACATAAAGATTGTTATTCTAATTATTGAATAAAATCCCTGTTTCACTTACTTTACTGTGTATGTCGCCTAGTGTCCATAATGGATTTTACATGACGTATCCTGACTACATTTAGTAACAATATGTAAACAAACACTTTACCGATTAGGTTCAACAAAGGGAATTGACAAAAAAAAATGGCCGTGTTCATAATGTTTATACCTCAAAAGCTGCCCGGTTAATTTAAAACCGATGCATCTAGAACATGTAAGTTTAAAGGTGTAACTGGACTGACCTAAATTTATTTATATTTGCTATTTGCCTTTTATGTTTCATAAAATTAAAAACTTACCTGGATTTTGATGTGAATTTTCTGCAAACCTACAGAAGATCGAAAAATAAACACCACAATTTAAATCTATTGTGTTGCAGATATCTACTGTCTCTCTATTGTTCAATGACATGTAAAATCAATACAATTTACAACATAATATAAGGGGACCTTCTCAAAATACTTTTCCAACTTAGTTTATTTTGGCACCTTCTGAAGGAATGAAAAAAGAAATGAATAGCAAAATCCAGTTAAGTTTTCAATACTGTGAAACTTTAAATGCGTTAAAATTTTATTTCTAACAGGTCCAGCCATGCTTCAAAACTTTTCAAGGTGCACAGGTTTGTCTGTACGCGGAGAGAAACTGGTGGTGTAAATACGACAATATTTGCCTAAAGGTTATGATTATGTTCAACATTTTATTAGAACATCATGTGGAAAGTGCCCTTAAGTTTAACTTAATTAACAGTTATACGTACAATGTCATGTAGTACCTTTTAAAAGTCATCTGAAAGATTTAAGGTGTATGAAACGATGCATATAGAATAATGGCAATTTTGTTTTTGATACTGACTTCGTCAGCAAGAATATCAAGCGCGCCCGCTAGGGTGAGCTGATATTCGAGCTGATGAAGTCAGTATCAAAAAATAAAATGGCATTATTCTGTTTATCGGCAATTTGTCATAACTATATTTTTTTTTTGGTTGAGAATATGAAGTTAAATGAAATAGTTAGTAACAAAACGTTGGGATAGTTGTTCGGTTGTATGCATGAAGTCGCGGGCATTTCATTGATAAATTGATGCGGATGGACTTGAGCATGCGACGTTGCTGACTGATACATGACGTCATTGCCTAATCAAATATTACTTTAATTTAACAAAACAACTGTCATCAAATTACTTTAATTTTGCAAACACACTTTGAAACCGCTGCAGCTTACATATTTTACTAAGTAAACATATCTCCAAAAAAATAAAATTAAAGAAATAGATTCTTTCAAACCTTTCTTATTTTATACTTTTAAGATCTCCAGAATAACGTAATGCGTTACAATGATAATAAAAAAAAACAATTTTGCTGCACAAAGATTGTGCTTCAAATGGTCAGTAAAAGAAAATATATTTTCAATTTAACCTTTTACCACCAATAATCAATCCGTGCTGTTGAAACAAAGGAACTTTAAACTATGCTTAGGTGACTAGTGCTATGTTGAAATAATTTAAATCTAAATACTATAGTCAAAATCATCACATGTAAAGCGTATAACAAAAACACCAATGTGCCACAGATAGTTGATAAATACATTCAATTGGCTCACTCCTTTTAAAAGTGCACATTTAATGTATGTTTGTTACGAGAATGCTCGTATACAAATCTGAGCCATAAAAGTAGGTAAAGTCATAAAAAGTTGACACAATCAACGACAATATTCTCATGTATACAAATATAAAAAAAATAAAATGCCATTATTCTGTTTATCGGCAATTTGTCATAACTGTATTTTTTTTTTTTTGTTGAGAATATGAAGTAAAATGAAATAGTTAGTAACAAAACGTTGGGATAGTTGTTCGGTTGTATGCATGAAGTCGCGTGTATTTTATTGATAAATTGATGCGGATGGACTTGAGCATGCGACGTTGCTGACTGATACATGACGTCATTGCCTAATATTTTTGAGAGTCAAGTCCTGTCCATGATCTTAAAAATATTTGGCAGTAGAATCAACAGGAAAATGTACAAATTGCCGATAAAACTATATATTGTTTGTTTTGAAAAAAAAATTAAATTAAAGAGAACCACAAGTAATGTTATTTCTATTTTATATATTTCATTTAGTAAATAAAGGCAATAGTAGTATACCGTTGTTCAATAGTCATAAATCGATTTAACTGAAACAAATCCGGGTCACAAACCAAAACCGATGGTACACATCAACTATATGAGGAAAACAGTACGTAAGTAATTAATAAATTGTATTAAAAGCTGACATATACGTAAACAACTACTATCCAACTTGATTGCTAATGAGTAAAACATTTGTAAATCATTTTGATATAACAATTTCAAATTTTCAATTCTAAGTTTTGTGATCTTACAGAGCAAATTAACCAAAGGAACTTAGGTACAGGATTTTTATAATTTTTTTTTCATTGTTTGCACTGAATATCAAACGTTCTAATTCCGAATACCTAACACTACTAAGCTGGTCCTATCTTGTTTTGGGTGAATTTATCAACTCAGATACAACTCCTTATTTTACTATCCAATGTTAACTATTGGATTTTATTTTTTTTTGCCATTGCATTATGAGTGTTTTCAACTATTGAGTTTAAATATCCCTTTGGTATCTTTCGTCTCTCTTTTACAATAATGTATTTATCATTGTTTATTGACATTTTTGTAAAAGTGAACATAAACCAGAAAAGGATGTTAAGTATGCCAAACTTTATGTTCTACATTCCAATCTTGTTAACTTTACTGTATTATAATTGTGTAATGTTGCTTTAACCTGTTAAAACGCTCCCATATAAACAAAGGTTATCCACTACAAACATATTATTTCTAATTCGTGTCCTCAAACGCAAATAAAGTATTTATGAACAAAGTATAAAGAATATATCTATAGAAACAGCTCGCCTAGACGAGTGCATCAAAGATTACTTTAAAAACAACTGTCATCAAATTACTTTAATTTTGCAAACACACTTTGAAACCGCTGCAGCTTACATATTTTACTAACAAATCTCAAAAAAAAATAAAATTTAAGAAATAGACTTCTTTCAAACCGTTCTTTAAAATAATATCTTATTTTCTACTTTTAAGATCCCCAGAATAACGTAATGCGTTACAATAATAAAAAAAAAAAACTTTGCTGCACAAAAATTGTGCTTCAAATGGTCAGTAAAAGAAAATATATTTTCAATTTAACCTTTTACCACAATTACCAATCCGTGCTGTTGAAACAAAGGAACTTTAAATTGTGACTTATTGCTATGTTGAAATAATTTAAATCTAAATACTATAGTCAAAATCATCACATGTTAAGCGTATAACAACAAATCCCAATGTGCCACAAATAGCTGATAAATACATTCAATTGGCTCATTCCTTTAAAAAGTGCACATTTAATGTATGTTTGTTACGAGAATGCTCGTATACAAATCTGAGCCACAAAAGTAGGTAAAGTCATAAAAAGTTTACACAATCAACCACAACATTCTCATGTATACAAATATTAGATTGATATTTGAATTTCGAAAATCTATTACTCGGTAGAGAAACTCAGGTGACAAAAATAAAAGTTAATAAAATCCGAAAAATGAAACAAGTGTTCAATTGCATGCAGGATGTGTTATACTCAAAAGATAACTGAAGCACAGTGATCAAGGAATTGTGAGGAGTATACGTTAATGACACAACACACCAACAAAATCATACAATCGGATTAGTCTCACTATTAGGTCATCACACGGTTATTTCCCCCAATAATATGAACATTTTAGTAACTTCCAACGAAGCGCAGTTGCTATTTAGTGATGAAAAATAACACCTTATACTTAACACTTAAGGAGGTTCGCTACTTAGTTTCAAAATAACAAGCTTTTTGTTACACTAGTATATATTGATAGGGGATTAATAAAGGAACCAAAAAAGCAAAAAAAAATATATAGGTAAATGTGCTTATTTTCAATATATAAGCCATTGAAATTTTGGCGGGAAAATGTTCTCTCTTGATTTTTCATACCTTTATCAGTGACAAGTTTAAGTTCCTAAAAACCATTAAAAATAACAAAGATTTTATAAGACTTTTACAGATGGCTAATAATTATACTTGTAAAAGATTTATAAAAAGAAAAATGGGGGTCAATGGGCAAAAATTATCAAGGCATTTAAATGGATAAAACCAGAGGATTCCGAAAATCTGACAAAAATCCCAAAACATGACAAGAGAACATCCTTAATTTTCTTGCGTCCGAAGTGGTATTCCAGATTTACTTTTAGTAAGGACTCAAATTCAAAAATTTTTAAGCCAAGGATGTATCAATAAGAGCTTACACAACGTATATTACCGTTATCGGGTAAGTCCGTTGATATCTAACGAGATGTTCACAAACGTTGTGATAAAATGCCCGTTTTTTTCAAATTATGTGTAATTGATATGACCAGTGTTTTCATTAGTTTAGAGATCGATTGTTTAGGACAGCACACATATTAATTGTTAGTATTTTTATACAAATAATGTTAATAGTTGAAAATTAATTTTTCCAAATTAATGAATATATCAATATACGTCTAACAAACAACAATCAATCAACCACTGAACTAGGTAAATGCTGATTTGTTAATTTTTCCAGTTATCAAATTCTCATCCGATCGGTTCATGGATTGAGCGAAAGCATGCGCACTTCAAGTTCGAAATGTCGCAGTTATATTCTTGGCCAAATCAATCATAAATCAAGGCTTACTATTAAGTATTTGCTTTGTCTCCGCAAAACAAAACAAAATATTTGTATGAATATCTGTTTGCCCTCTTCGATTTTTGCCGTGGAGTTGTCAGTTTTTGTTCTATATGTTGTTTTAAATGTCAACTTGGTATCTTTTATACACCATCACATCATGATTACATATGTAACACGTCTTTGATTGTATTATATTCATTTTATTTAGGGTATATTGCATATTTAAAGTCGCGGAAGTTAAACCCAAATGTATATAAAACTAAATAGAATGCGATTGAAATTAACCTTTACATAGCTTGCAATTTATTTTTCAAACCTTGAAGAGGGAGGGTGATTATGAGTAATTCCGTATTGTTTAGTTTTTCATTTATAATTGATTAATACGCTGGAAACAAAAGAAGAAAAAAAAAGTAAATCGCCCATACATATGAAACTCTTCATTGTTTAACACGTTCCCCGAAAGGACGCCATTGAGTATAAGTACAAAAGAAAACGGTTTGCTGAGATTACAAATAATCAAAATATTTAAAAGGATCAACAAGCTTCTTAATTCCGTGCTAGCGTTATGTTGATATTAGTTATTTGAATATGGGAGACATGATATTAAATCTATCATTATTATTCCCGTCCGAAATGCTTTAACTCGGGAAATGTTATTTATTCACGCTATTTACAGAGTTATATGTATCGAAGGTTTAGTAATTTTAATACTTGCCCTGAAACAAGAATAATTGGCGAACTTTTTATTAGTTATCCGGTAACTAGTAAAATATTGTAAAGTAAACTAATAGATGAATCATATATTAAATTTATATCAAATACAGAAATGTAAAAGCTTGAGTTGGAGTTTATGTATGACCTCTTGTTTAGGTCTCTATGGGGACAAACAAACATCGAAATTGGTTCTCCAAGAAATCCGTTATGAAATTATAGATAGAAACTTGATATCGTGTAAATAATCAACAAGTTAAAAGTTTACTCAAGGGTTTCGAATTTAGATTTTTTGGCCTACGAACAAAAAAAGAACAAAATGCTTTAGAATTATCCATTATAAGTGAAACATGTTATATATATAGCACGCCTTTTACGAATTTACGTTTTTAATTCACGAAAAGCGTAGCTTTGAGTGGATTAAATATGTTAATGAGTAAGGCGTGACTATATATGATTTGTAACATAAATGAGCTATGATACACGTCAAAGGTTAAATGCTGACCAATAAAACGTTTCTGCACTTTTCCATATGTCAATCAAATAGTGGCGTGATACTATATCTGATTTCCAGAAAATTAACACATGCAGCAGATGTCAGGGGGATTTGTATGTCAGATAAAAGTACATTCAAATGAATTGTTGCCGTGGGATTCAGGCTCGATATCCATTTACGTGTTATTGAATATTTTGTCTCCCCAAAAACTATTGATAAAGGAGGGGGGGGGGGTGCAAAATTTTATTCGATGTTTATCTACCCTCCAACTTGAAAATGACGTGTAGTTTCAAAGGAGTTTTATCGTTGTGATAAGAAGGAAACATTTTCTAATACCAATTATGAAGGTAACTAATAATATTCTTCCATTCCCAAGAACTGGAAAAAGATTGGTTAATTGATTGCAATGGTTGCATGTTGAATTGGTGTAAGATCCAGGGACAAATATTTGAAGCAATTCACGGAGATAGGCCTTTATAGAATGAAGAAAATTACTAAACATCCAATGACATGTATTTTTTAGAATATTATTAATTTCGACAAGATAAAAACAGGTATCCAACCAAAATAACAGTAAGAAAATTTTTAGTCATTTCTATTACATTTTGTTTTATTCTTTCATTAAGTGGATGAAATTAAACGATTTAAATTCCAATGACAATTTTTTTGAATATTTATATTGACATGATAAAAACAAGTATCCACCAAATTATCAATATCGCTTCTTCGTTTATAGACCACGGTATTCGTTTTTGTAGCTCTCCTCGAGCAACCATTTATTTCCAGTACAATGTATAGGGAACCATTTTTAATTTAGGGTTAGGTTTATAAGTTTGGCTAGTGTTAAGGTAAGCCCCTCCCCCCTTTTCTTGATTTGTTATATATTGTTGTGTATGCATTTTGTTTACATTTATGAGGACATTTTACGGTCATTGATTTCATAGTTTACTGGGCCAAGGAGGCGGAGCTAGACAGTGAAATAGCAACTTTTGAGATAGAAGTTAGAGCACTGGTCTAAGATCCTCCCATGCCTTGCTTTTCCCATGACAAGCGACACACGGCGGGACTGGAGAGTGCAATAACTAAAAATCATTCAGTTAACGCACTTCTCTAAAAATAACCGAAGTTAACTTACTCGAAGATCAAAGGAAAAATTACCATTCATGTCACAAAGTACAAATATTTGGGATAGGAAATAGAAACTTGACTCACGGCTTTCCTTATACAGGGGCATTACAAATTATTGTGTCGATATTTTTTGTAAGACCCCAAGGAGCATAATCTCTATGTTTGTTAAATAAATCAAATATGATTGTCCTATAACTCCATTCACACTAACAAAGAAACACTGAAATCATATGTTGTATATAAGATGCCAATCTACTTGATCCCAGTATTTCAAATGGTTTAGAAAGATATTTAAATTCGCAGGTATGTTGGGTCAAAATGGGAACGTTTAACACGATGCCCCAGGTAGAGAATATAAAGCACTCTGTACTCTAAAGAACCAGTGCATCAACTCTCTGGGGCAAAATGTCTGCCCATATCCTATAGGTTATCGTTGACAGTCAAACTGTATCGCCGTTCATCCGGCTGAATCTATAGCCCATACAGTAACAATCAATGCTATTAAATTTAATGTAAATACGTTTTTGTTGTGGATGTGCATCAAATAATTTGCAACAGTACATTAAGGAAAGAATCAATCAATCAGATGCTGTATATTGCGTTAAAGCATACTCGTTTTTGTTTTTCTGCTTTTTGAACCCCATGCGGTTCTTGTCTCCAGATGTGATTCTTGAAACGTGGCACAATGTAAATACTATATATGTATATTGTGTCGCAGGCTTTGGCATTGTCGATTAGCTCAGCCACTTCATTGACCACGGCGATAATTAAAAAAACTGAATTATATTACTGTTATCATTTTCTTTCCATTAAAACGACTAACAATCAGTACAGCAGGGTATATGAGTCTTTTGTATAAGTTGGAATAATATTCGAACACGTATCAACTAATTCTCCGTAAATGCATGAAACTAAACCAGCGAAGCCCAAGAACAAATATTATCAAAACAGAATGATATTTTATGATCGTTTCTATCTGTTACAATTTTTAAGACATAAGTAAATAAAAGAAATATTTCAAAGGGATATCAATCTAAAAACGGATGATGGAATCCTACTCAGGGTCATCTTGTATTACTTCATGATAAGATCTGCCTATTGTCTAAATAAGATCGTGATATCTTCAAAAACAACAAGGGAAAAGGGGGGGGAGTCGAAAAAAAGCAATGAAAGGGAGATCACTTTTACAGGAAATTATTAAATCCTACAAAGGGTCAGCTGATATTACTTCATGATGAGGTCTATCGATGGTCCAAATTTGGCCATGATCTTAGATAAGATAGTCAAAAGCTTGCTTTTTGAAATATAAAATCCTCCTAGAGAAGAAATGTAAATAAAATGTATATTCTGATTCTCTCGAAACTTTTGTTGCTAAGAGTGAATAAAGGTATGGATGGAACTTTATTTTCCTATAGCAATATATAAATTGTTCCAGAATCTGCAAAATAGCGGGGACAAGAGATTATTAATAAAACTGATTATGCTGAGTTATTGAAACTGTATAATTGTGTTATTTTAGATTTTTTACATCACTGGGTCGATACCTCTGCTGGTGGACTATCAGTCAGCTCAGTAGTCAGTACTTCGGTACTGACATGATTTATAACAAACCTTTCTAAAATTGTCTGTTTATGAATTTTGAAATTATAAAGAAACTAAGGTTTCAACTCCCTCAGGCAAAGTTGACCTTAGATGAGTTTGGCTATTTGTTTTAGGTATTTTTGTCATATAGTTCTTCCACTGTTTCGGTACTTATACATCCCTCGGATTTCAAATGTTTGGCTTTGAGCGTTCCTGATGAAGGTAAATCCAGAAAAGCGCTTCGGACGCATGAAATTATTAAACGTGTTATTTTAAATTTGTTGGCTATTATGCAGATTATAGATGGATACAATGGGTGGCATAAAATAGTTAAGTTAATCAAACAATATAATCAAAATTGTGAAATGGAATATATGTCATCATCAGATATAATTCCCTCTCCTTTCTATGGTTTGAGCTTTGTGTATTTTAGCTGTCAACGGTACTTGACTACAATATATACAAGGACGGAAATTGTTTAAGTTCAACCGACAATTCTTTCTATAGCGAGCTTTTAAATCTGATTATGATCAAGTGGGTAGAGTCGAGTCTCTGTACTTATGACTTCAAACTATTTATGACAATGAACATCGTTAAAAATATGCGAGTGGACAAATAGTTGTTTACAATTAACAGGTGACCTATCTCGTACAAACTTACATAGTTACTGCTAATAAATTTTATTACTTAATCATCAATTAAATTTTACTTTAAACACTGTGAGTTCATGATTTTTTGAAAAAAGGAAGAAATTGAGATTTTTCTTATCACGTTTTCCACTTCTCTGATTGATGAATATAGTTTTCTTGAAAATTGAATGTTTTCTGGTAATTTTAAAGGGTGTGTCAAGGCGATTACCGAAGCAATTTTTTTATGAAGCGCGATTGTCTACAGTAACAGCATAAAATACAAGTTAATGTTCGTATTAGAATGCTGAATACATATATTTAAGTCATACCCATACCTAGAAAGCTTCACAGAAGGGACATATTTCGTTGTTTCTTCTTTGAAGCCTATCTGTAAATAAGCAGCTCCTTTTGCGCATGTGAAACCCGTCGTTTTCATAAAATAAATGTTAAGGAATAGACGCTGATCAACGCGAAGTAATTTGATTTAGAAATTTGAATGATTGATTTAGATATTTGTATGATTGATTAAGAGTTCTTCATAAATGAAAATAATAAAAGTTAATTTTTTTATTTTTCCTCCGGTGAGTGAAACTTAGATAGCAGGAATGAATGTGAATAATGTTCCTATGAATGGGATGCCAATTTTTCAGATTGGATAATAAGATACGATGTACCTTTTAAAAAAGTTCAAGAATCACTTGTGTCAATGAACTGGACAACAAAGGAAAACTGGAATATCCGGGAAAATATAAAACACACGAAGTTAGTGAACTTTAACGAACGACATATATTGTTTGGATACGGACCTTTTTTGAATTACGGACCAGCATAGAAGAGAGGGACGAAAGATACCAGAGGGACAGTCAAACTCATAGATCGAAAAAAACTGTCAACGCCATGGCTAAAAATAAAAAGACAAACAGACAAATAATAGTACAGATGACACAACATAGAAAACATAAGACTAAGCAACACGAACCCCACCAAAAACTGGAGGTGATCTCAGGTGCTCCAGAAGGGTAAGCAGAAACTGATCCACATATGGCATTCGTCGTGTTGCTCATATTATTACAAATCCGGTACATAGTCTAATTCGGTAGGTCACATTCGTGAAAAGGGAAGGGTATTGTAGTTACGACATAAGGAACATATCCGATATCATCTGTGAAACGGTTATTCCATAACGGTCAACCAACTCGTGATGGCGTCCGTAAAATTTACGTAGGGATGATTTCAACTTCACCATTTGGAACTCTTGGTTTAATATCTTCCTTGTGAGCAGCAATCCTCTATCAAGGAAATCATGATAGGAAATCATAACTTTTACGAGTTTCAATCAGATAAAGATTTTTTAACTGTTTGTATGTGCCACAATAATTAGCGTATTTCTACGTTAAATTCTGCAATTTCAAGCTTTTATACCTCTTAAGATAAAGTGACAGTTATGCCAAGCAAGACAAAAACCTTGTTGTGACTTTTGCTGGACACAGCAAGATATTATCTTCTACTGTATATAAAAACACACTGGTTCCAGAAGGCTAGGTTATACAAAAACAGGAACTTCTGCTATCAGTAACAGACAAAACATCCCCTCTTAGTTCAATTATAATCACTATTTTATTATTCAAAATCAACACACAAAAATAGTTTTATCGCGATATCAAGGCCTGAAACTTTTATTTGATACCAAAATTACAAATATATTTTACATAAATAAAAACTTACAGTAATGCATCTGACTTATTTTGTTTGAAAACATTACTACATTATATAATGTTTCAAGACTTGGGCATGCATTATTGGTTCTAGACCTAACCAAAATTTCGCATTTTCGAACAGACTAAAATCGAAAATCTACATTTGTCATAAGAATTGTAACAAAACTGATGTAGTGCAATTTCATCGACATGATCGTGCAATCGGGTCAAGCAGTAAAATAATTAATCATGATAGCTGGAAGGAATGGTACTTATCTTCAGACTTTGAGTTTCTTTGCGTTAATATCATTTCTGCAATATTAAAATACAATCATCACATGCGTTCTACCAAATCTTATTCGTAGACAAGAAATTGAATTCCGTATTGTGAGAGGTGTTCAAAAATAAATCAAAATAAAAAAGGGAGACACCATTTCATTTTTATCGAATAGATACGTAGGGGAAAGTTGTTAAGAGCCGATTTGTACACGTGTTTTACTTATTGAATCACCATAATCTGAAAAATCTTAGTTGTTTCAATAATGTTGTAATAAAGAACAAGACTGTCCCCTATGGTTGCAAGTATTGATCATACAATATATTGAGGAAAGCGGTCTAGACTCTTTGTTAGTCGCATTGCAGGATTTTTGCCGAACAGCAATGACAGGAATTAGCAGTCGATATGCAGGTTTCCAGGTTGTTTGAGATTTAATCATTATTTTATTTGCTTTGTCATGCAAGCTTTTTTAAAAGCTTATACTTGTTAAATGATCATTCATATACTGATATCGAACCCATGACTCTTTATTTAGTAATCTTTCTATAAAAGTGACACCTACCATCCACGTATTCTAACATCAATCCGATTCTGATAGCAAAAAATCTTATTCTGAAGACTCCGTATACATACTATAAGTATTTTATACTCATCGAAATATAGGATACAACAGATACAGTTAAGTCTGCCTCATATCTTGACATACATTTAAATCTTGACAATGAGGGTTGGTTGAAATCAAAATTTACAATAAAAGAGATGATTTCATCTTTCTAATTGTGAACACTCAATTTCTATGTAGCAACATTCCAGCAATGCCTGCATACGAAGTATATATCTATCAGTTAATACGATAGTCAAGGGTTTGTATTTCCTATCATGAGTTCTTTGATATAGGGTTGCTTCTCACAAGGAAGCCATACCTTCGAAAATATTACGGACGCCATCACGGATTGGTTGACAGTTATGAAATATTTGTATCACAGATGACGACAGATATGTTCCAATGGTCGTAATTTCGATCCCGTCCCCCTTTCCCCGAATGTGACCTACCGAATTTACTTATCACCGGGTGTGTACTAACATGAACAACATGACGGGTGTCACATGAGGAGCAGGATCTGCTTACTCTTCAGGAGTGCCTGAGATCTCGTTTTGATATTTGACGATCTGTCGTAAAATACCAAAAGTACGTAAGATATGCTGTCGAATGGTAAACGATATAGCCACCTGTACATTGATGCATTAAAGATATTAGATGGATTGCCTATGGTAACTAATTAATATGTAGCTCAGACTTGGACAGTAGTAATAAAAAAAACGACCGAGAGATAGATAGAGAGAGAGATGCAAATAAAGAGACAGTATTTGTATCCCTTAGAACGATCTCACATATTTACAGAATTTTATGTGTCTGCTCATTTATAATACCAACTTTCCATTTGTCCCACCATGCAAGGATCATATCTTCACATTTGTAAAATTATTTCAACGTGAGTTATTTACCTTTAAGTTAGTCATAAAATATATGAAGCATTTTAAGGACGAGATCTTAATTTCTATATTTCATAAAAGAAGGTTTTACAAAGTGGTTCGACATCGTGGAAAGACTAAAAATAGAACTGTAACTGGAAAATCAGGGCACCTTGCATAAGGAAAGTCAACAGGAATCAAGAAAAGATAGCGTGACATATTCGAATCACAAGATATCGGATTAAAATTCACAAGGGCAAAATGACTTGATTTGACTTATATGGACGTATGATAATTTGTAATAACAAACTTAGAGACTCCTTTTGAACGATCAAGAATCATCTTTATCGGGCATAACTATTCTTTAAGCACGATTGGTTTGACGTTGTGGTCCTTTACGATTACTGCAAGGCTCTGTCGTTTTTTTTTAATGTTTCAGAACTAAACAATGCTTACGTATGGAGCACCAAAGAAGATATGTAGACACGGTATGTCAATAAACTCTATTTATCATATAAAAATCCCTCTTTTGTTAAGAGGGAGTTAATACAATCTGTTGGCAGTGTTTTAAAATACAACATACAAATAAGTTATCATAGTTTGTGTTCAGACACTGTTTAAACGATTTGAAAATTCGCGCTATTAAAGTTTTTGTCTTATCATCTAACTTTAACAGTACGACTTTGAACTGTGATAATAACAACGTTGAGAGGGTGTGTCTCGACAAATAACAGGTAACACACATAACAGGTTAATTTTAATTGAACACACTTATAGTTACTGGTTTTATCTTTAAATGGGGGTAAATATCTTTAACGTTGTCACACACTAAATATTACTTTAACAACCATATTATTGCAAAAATGAAACTATTACAAATTTAATGCATTCAACTGTCTTGTTTGACTATTCAAGCTTTGCTCATATTCAAACATTTCATAGAAAATGTTAAAAATTTGCCGTCGATTAATTGATCTTAAGCATTTAGTATGGCAAGCCGTTCTCGTCAAAATACCTTTCAATGACAAATGAATTCATTTCAGTTCTGTAAATTTCATTGAAAATCTCATGGCAACTTATTAATACGTTTCTAAAATACTTAGCCCTATTCATATAATTTCTCCACTGTGTGCGTTACATGAAAATAAACAACGTTTAATATAACATGTATCGTTTAATATAACATGTATAAGCAAACCATTATTAAATTAATGCGTTTTATTCATGAAGCGAACAGTTGGGTTCATTAGTCAGTGTTTGACAAATGACACTTTCTATTAATATCATAGATCATATATTGCCAAGCTTTACCCATTTACATACTTAAATGAACTAAAATAAGTGCGTTTCGTGCGTTGAATACATTGATTCGTTACTGGCGTGCAACACATGAGACTTCTCAACGCTATGGCTATAAAATGGGTCCTTGTCTGATGTTTTATAGTTCCGTCGTTGTTTAAGGCTTTATGCATCACTGCATATATAGTTTGTTGTAAATCTGTCAGTATGATCTGTGAATTGTCAATTATGCAATTATGCCATCATGTTTTACAGTCCTCTCCCTAAAGCTTTCATAGTTTTATGAGGAAGACTAGTTTAAGTATGTCAACAAAGGTACAAATACAACACATACTAAAAAAACATCAATTATGAAGTAATGATAGACAAACAATATATATATTTTTATCAGAAAAGTTATATCAAAGACGGATATATATATATATATAGTTTTCGGCATCGATAACGTTGAATATCAGCAGCAGCCACAATGTTAATCTTTTTTATGAATGAACGCAGAAAAAGAACGAGAAACTGACGCGGCTGATATTTTTAGATATCTATACACACAAAACCCGATAATCTGTTTATTGTACCATTTCTGTTTTTCATACATTAGACAGTTTAAATCATGGTTGTCATGTCAAAACAGAAGTGCTGACCACTGGCTTTGTTAAACCCTCGGGAGGAAACATCCACTAGCAATGACACCAATGTAGAGATAGCAAATAAACAAATCATTAATATCAGGGTAAGAATTGTATACGCCAGACACGTTTTTTTGTCTAAAAAGTACTCACCAATGATGCTCGAATAAAAAAAGGTAAACTTTACTACGAAGTTAAAGAGTATTGACAACCAAAACGTCCGTAAGGTTTTGCCAAATACAGCTCATCTATTGCATACAAGGCAAAGTGTAAAAGAAACATACAACGGTATAATTACAAAAATAGTAAATGGATTTTATATGTAAAAGAAAAAATGACTTATTTTTATGACAATGCCTCCGAACTTTTGCATAAGTTGTTTGATTTGTATCCAACTTCTTCTAATTTCGAATTATTTTAGTGTTTGTTAAAGTGAACAATTACATAATAAGTTCTATCAACGTTTTGATACATTCTCCCTGGATTTATTTTTATTAAGATTGGGAAAATTCATAGGAAAACGAATCAATATTCATTTATACAGGAGGAGGAATTGAGCAACAAAAATATGGATAATGATAATAACAATTTTTTTCGACCTTTTAGGAATTCCAATGGCATCGGCGATTCAATTATCCTGCTGTGGTCCGTGTGAGTATGATGAAATAGCTACGGAAGCGAGAAGATGGTGTACTACTTGCAAGGGAGGATTATGTGTAGACTGTGAAAAGGCTCACATAAAAAACAAAATATCGAAAAATCATAAAGTTATCTCGATTGAAGATTACCGCAAGATTGAAAATGTTTCGATCTCTTAGGTCTGTGAGCATCATGGAGAAAATCTTGAGTGGTTCTGTAAAACTCACGACAAAGAACTGTTCATGGTTTGTGTTTTATCAAATCACAAGTTATGTTATGATGTTATAACAATACACGTTGCCTCAAACAATGCCAGGCAATCACCAGCATTGTCTGACCTAGTAGAGTCAATTGATGAAACACGTAACAACCTTAAACAGTGCATCACAAACCGTAAATCCGCTTAAAAAAATCAAAAAACGAGAGTTAGAAATAGAAAAGATGATACTTGAAATGCGGACAAATATAAACACCCACCTAGATACATTAGAAGACGCATTGCTTTCAGAATTAGTATCAACTTCTCGTTCTTGTAAATCAGAATATGCCAAAATCCTTGAGAAGCTTAAATCAGGTGAGGAAAAGCTTACCAAACTTAGGGAACAAACATTGCACATCAAACAAATTTCTTCTGACATACAGGTGTTTCTTGGAACATATCAGGGTAATAAGTCAATTGTTAGCGAAACCAAAGACATCAATGATATTATAGTACTTCTAGAGATTATGAATTGAAAGTAGATTTCAATAGTTTAATCACAAAACTGTCAACAGAAGTTGAAAATTTTGGCCAAATTAAGATATCTGAAAAAATCTCTCAGTTAGATTTCAGAGACCCCAAAATCGAATAAGCTCAGATAGGTATCCCAGTCCCTACACCAAGAAATATATCCAACATACAGCTTCAGTTAATCAAAACGTTTAGAATATCAAAGGAAGAAAAAATGAATATTAGAGGCTGCATCATGTTATCTGATGGTCATTTATTAATTTCGAATTACCCAAGTAACTGTTTAATCGAGTACAGCGATGAAGGTCAATTCATTCGTAACATTCCGGTCACTTGTATGCCGCATGGTATTGCAGTGATAGACCCTGTATTGTTGTGACTTATGTTAACGCAAAATTCTTAGAAATAATGAATAACAATACTTTCCAAGTCGAAAAGAAAATCACTTTGCAGAAAAGTGCTTGGGGGTATCTCAAGAGAGTGAGAGACTTTATGTCGTAAGTAGAGAAGCTACCATACAAGTCACTGATCTATCAGGAAGACAATTGGAAACATTGAAAATAGCATCGGATGGTGTAGCAAGCATCACTACTAGCAGAGACAGGATATACTACACAGACTTCAATAGTAGCAAAATACACAGTTGTCTTATGATTGGAGAAGAGTTTTTGCAGTTTGAAAAAGCGAATATATTCGGGGACCTATCGGTGTAGCAGTAGACAATCAATGTAACGTTTACGTTCACGTCGTAGGTAGTAGCTCTAATAATCTAGCAATAATACAACATGATGGGAATTACGGTAAGACATTACTGACAGAATCGGATAATCTGCATGGTCCAACTGCTGTGTACTATGACAAAGAGAAAAACACATTACTTATTTGCAATAAAGGTGGGAAGGTTGCTTTGTACAAAGTCGTTTACAAAAGATTCCAAATCATCGAATGAGGTTCCTGTGTTCATGAAAATTCCATACGAAAAAACCATGGTTACATATATTGACATTGCGTTGCACCTTTTGTTAAATAAAATATAATCCATTTTCTTTGACTAACTATTATATTGTTGGAGTCTTGTCTCACAATTACTGTCTGAGATTTCAATAGACCTGCGGTCGCCTATAAAATTTTCAACCCAGTGTATCAGCGGAGATTTTTGTTACTTCTAAAGTCCAAAAACAGTCCCTTGTGCAGGATGCGACACAATGTGCGGAGACCCACGGTCGGCTATGACATTTTCCTCCCGGTATATCAGTGGAGAATTTTTTTTTTAGCTCTAAAGTCCAATACACCCCCTAGCACAGGACGCGACACAATGTGAGACCCGCGGTTGCCTATGAAATTTTCATTCCGTGTATTAGTGGGTATTTTTTTGTTTTCCTTCTAAAGTCAAAAACACCCCCTTGCACAGGCCGCGACACTATGGGCAGAGACTCGCGGTCGCCTACAAAATTTTCATCCCAGTGAATCAGGGGAGAATTTATTTTCTTAAGTCCAAAACACCCCTTTGCACATCTTACGACCAGCAAGGGAAAACATATACTTTATCCGGGAGAATGTTTTCGTTTGAGAATTTTTCAAAGAAGACCCGCGAAAGATGTTTTACCGGCGGGCCAGCTATAGTCAGTTAGTTTGTTGATATTGAAGGCTACCTTTAGTGACCTAGAATCTGTCATGGCTACCAGAAATTAAAGAAAGCCGGATTACATAAAGAGAACCACATACCCTTTCCAAAAACTGGCAATCCTTGTCATTTAAGATTGAAGTCAATCGAGAGCGGGGTTTGAACTCAAAACTTAAGTTCAAAGGCCTGTGATCACTCTTGCACTCGGTTCTTGCATTCGGTCACCGAGCGTCTCCGTCAGTCTGTATGAATCGTTTATGAGCTTGCTGTCATTTGAATCGAGATGATCGGTGTTGATTTTTTACTGATAGTAGGGCGTGCCGATAAAGAATGAAATTAAGAGTAAGACCTTTGATTTGAATGGAGAATTGAACATTATTTTATGAGTGGTATTTTGTTTTCACAATAAAGAAAAACTTTGACGGTAATTGGAAAGAAGATTAACCCTAAAAATAATAAATTATATATACATGTAATACCATACGGAGTCTTTCTGATATTGCTTTACATCTAATCCCCTTGTTTTATTAATTTTGTATTTACATTGTGTCATAGATCAAATTTATTCGTTCAGTGTATGTTTACTTGTTTTTGTTAATATGTCTTTTGATTGAGTTAAGCCATTTCAATTCATATTTTACAGTGTGTCTTTCTATGTTATGATGTTACACTATTGTTTCAGGTAAGGGTGAAGGTTGGCGCATATTAAAACGTTTAAACCCACTGCATTTGTTTACACCTGTCTTAAGTCAGGAATTTGATGTTCAGTGGTTGTCGTTTGTTGATTTGGTTCATAAGTGTTTCTCGTTTCTCGTTTTTTATATAGATTAGATCGTTGGTTTTCTTGTTTGAATGGTTTTACACTAGTCATTTTGGGGCTATTTATAGCTTTGCTGTTCGGTGTGAGCCAAGGCTCCGTGTTGTAGGCCGTACTTTGACCTATAATGGTTTACTTTTACAAATTGTGACTTGGATGGAGAGTTGTCTCATTGGCACTCATTCCACATCTTCTTATATCTAAATATCATACTAAAGATACTTTTGTTTTATTTTGTGTTTTTTTAGCAACAAAACAAGAATTTAAAGCTATTCTGATGGGTTTTATCTTTATTTCACTAAAGATTTTTTTAGAAATGAAATATTGAACAATTTGTCGTCATGTGTTTTTATTAAAATAACGTGTCATTTATATGATTGATCTTTTTTCGTCAAACACTTCTGTCCATGATTGTATTTGACAAACATAAATTTTGCGAAAAAATGTTTAAACGAGAGAATACATTTTTCGCCTAAGAATCTTTTATTACGAGGTTTATATTTTTAAAATTAAAAAAAAGTCATATGCTTATACTTTTTTTCGGAAAAAGAAATTTCAATACTTCAAAAGGCAACTGCAATAAAGCAAGGACTTACTCATGATATTTCCCTTGACCTTGTAGCATATCGTGTAGATGTTAAAATAACTAATACGAATGCAAAATATGTAGATTTGGGATTTAAGATTATCAAAAGGTTGGATCTTGAATATTTTACAAAATCTTCGTTCACCGGAATCCATAATGATGTTCTTTAAGTAACAAGCACGATCTAAAACTTATCAAGACTTTCGTTCACGTAAACAATATCCCGAATTAGCTTATAATAGTAATCGGTATGTGGTTTTAATACGAACAACCGACCGACATGTAGAGAGCATACAGTCTTCATCAAGAACAGATCTCGATACTCCATACAAGATGATAAACTCTAAATCGTTATTATTTTGATTGCCCCTTTTATTATGTCGCCGCGACAAAGTATGAGGAAGGGAACTCAGTACATCCGTCTGTCTGTTCGTCCATCTGTCTGACCATGTATATGTTTGTCTGTCTGTCTTTTTCTTCCGTCATACGTTTGGTATGGTTTGTCCAAGTAGCTCCTTCCGTTTTCAAGCTAAAAGTTAAATATATATAGTATAAGTCAATATACAACAGATGTACATATAAGGATTTGTATTCTCTTTTAACTTTCAACCAAGACAGACTATTGAATGGTGTCATTTTTGTGGATGATATTATGCATGGGAGTACATAACAGTCCAGGTTTGCATCTAGCCATTTTTGTTTTTGTCATTTTCTGAAGATTTGTACAAATCTTTGTGATTGGAAAACAAACATTGTATATTTTAAGCCATTACGTTCTGAATAACCATTTTGGCCCAGCAAAAGAAAAAAAGTATGACTCAGATGCTATATCTTGACATGACCGGGTAATCTGGTAAATAGAAAAACAGTTGATGTCAGGCCTTAATCGTGCAAGTTTGCATGATGCGTGCTTATTTTTATACTTTGAATTTCTTTGATTTAATGCTATTTTTGAAGTGGATCGAACCTGGTTTTATGGCTAGCCAAATCTTGGGCATGCATTAGTGGTGCTACTCAAAAAGCCTAATTTGATTGACTGTAAAGCTTCCCGTATTCTTTTTATAACAGGCTAACATAGAGATTGTAACAAACAAATAGTTTCTATTTAAAGCATTCTCAAGGACATGATCGTGCAATCAAATAAAAAAGTAAAATATGAGATTTCACACCTTAATCATGTTAGTTAAAAGGAATGATACTTTGAATATCTTTGAGTTAATATCATTTTGGAATAAGTATTCATTTATGATCAACGCGTGCGTTCTACAAAGTCTCACGTGAAAACATTCTTTTACACTTTATATATGTTTAACAAAATACCGATTTCCGTACTACTAGAGGTATTCACACTAAATTCAAATAAGACAAGTTAGATATCAAAATATCTTTTTTGGAAAGTTACGTAGAGGAATAGTTGTTCATGGCTAATTTGTACATTTTTGTAACTTGTCGAATCACATCAGTCTGAAAGGATCTGAGTTATTTCGTGTTATACTTGTTAACATGAAAAATGTAGTGTTGATCGCCAGTATTGGTCATACAATAAATTGAAAAAAATATCCGCTACATTGTTTCAGTCAAATTAGTGTTTTATAAACAGCAGAGACAGGAATGGCTGTCAATAGATAGGTTTCCCAGTTTGTGGTGTTATAGTTATTGATTTACGAGGTCATACAAGCTTTTTGAAAGCGCATACTTGTTAAATAATCATGTATTTACTCATGTTATATTTTTTTTAAAGTAAACTTCCGTTAAAGTTAGCAACATTAACACAAAATGAGAAGAAAGGTTATTATTATAAATATGCAATGCTTTGCAGTATGTACTATTGATTATGTCGCCGTGTGTCTATCTTCAGTATTCGATATAACACGAACAATCTCTATTAAATTTAGTAACAATATGTAAACAAACACTTCATGGATAAAAGTTAAGTAATGACACCTGTTATCGAGACCTCGTGATAAATGCCCTTAATATTTACATTCAAATATAATACGTACCTTTTAAATGTCATATAAAAGATTAAAGGTGTACGAAACGATGCAATTATATTAAATAATTTTCATTTGTTAAACATTTTTTATAAAACATTAAAAACTTTAATCCGAATTTACAGTTTTACAGAGCACAAATGAATGAATTCACGAATTTATTTTCTTGTTTTTTAACGATCTGATTTTTTGCTTGCACAAAATATACAAAATATGGTCATAACAGCAATGAATTAATTTCATTAGCTATAGCAAAACAATCAATCAATAATCTAAGACAGGTTATTTTACATTTTAACCTGTTTATGTTTTCGCAACTTGCAAGAGAGAAAGAGAGAGAGAGGAATAAATCAAAAGTTATATTTATAATATAGCCATTTACCATCAGAAGGATTTCATATAATCAGAGAAGATTCAAAATATGCATATGTCTGTATTAGTTATACTATGAGGAAGCAGTGTGTTAGTGTAAGATCACCCCGTTTGCCGGAGACCAGAGGATGATTTACAATGACACACTAAGTCCGAGTGCGATAACTATTATCATCCCAGCTCTTCTTAACTATATGAGAAAACATTTACGCTTCATAACATCTAGTTCAGAATGCCATACAATTATTATAATATACTTTATATATAACCATATAGTATATACACTTTATGAGCCTGGATCAATGTTTAAATATGTTAAATTTACAATGAGTTTGTATCGGAAGATACCAAGATAAATATTCCGTATCAACTTCACAAATAATACACGATGGTCTTTTTGATGTTACTTTTACTGTTTATTTTATTTTTGGTGATATCCATTTGACGTGGCTTTGTACTTTTACATCCCGTCATTGTGTTATTGTGCTATGGTAAATTCTTGTCTTTCATTTTTGCTTTTGCTATTGTGCTTTGTCTATATTCCTTTTTGTGTTTCTTTGTTACATATGACGTGACTCTGTACTTATTCATCCCGTCATTGTGCTATTGTGCTATGGTAAAATTTGTGTATTCTTGTCTTTCTTTTATGCTAATAAGC